CGCGGTGGCGGCGAGGGGGCCCCGCGCGGGACCTGCGGGGAAGCGCCGCTCGGCGCTGGGACGGCCGCCGAGGTGCTTTCCGTGCTGCGGGCGCCGAGGTCAGCTTCCTCTTTCAAACCAGAGTTGTGTTTTGATTTTTTTAAATGTAAGATGCCGTCCCCTTTTAGGGGTGGTTAGGAAGTAATTCGCCGGCTTCAGTGCACTTGCTGAGCAGGGAAAATATTTTGCAAAAAGGTGAACATTTAAGTCTCCAAAACAGGTTGTCCTAAACTTTTTCTGTTACAGTTTGAAAGCGTGTGTACGAAGGTGGAAATCAGCTGTACACGGAGAGGGACGTAGGGGTTGGTAAGATTTATTGTCGTGCTAACAGTTTCCTGTATGTATGCAGATGTCCAGACTTATCACATTGTACACTTTAAATCTGTGCAGTTTGTTGTATGTCAATTATAATTTCAGAGGCCGGGCGTGGTGGCGCATGCCTGTAATCCCAGCACTCGGGAGGCTGAGGCAGGAGGATTGTTGCGAGTTCGAGACCAGCCTGGGCTATAGAGTGAGCTCAAGGCCAGCCTGAACTGCATAGCGAGACCCTGTCTCAAAAAAAAACCAAAATAATAATAATAATAATTTCAATAAAAAATATAAGAGTAACCAAGAATATTTTTAATACTACAAAAGAATACATAACACAGTGTGTAAAAAGATAAAACAGGAAGGGAGTGTAAGGGAGGACAGTGGCAGATGGAGATGATCGAGATATTTGAAAAATACTGTGGTCGTGGTTCATTTCATTGTTTTATACTTTCTCTTCCTAGGTCATGGGTATATAGTCGGTAGGTTTTAGCTGTGCTTTTCGTGGGTGTGCTGTGAACATTTCTGTGTGAGAACTTCTCTAGATACTTCATGTAGATTGCCTTAGAACATAGTGGGTCATTAGAAGTAAAATAAATTGACACACTTATAAAATGCATGAGAAACTTTGGGATTCTCTATTTTGTTTAAGTGGAGGAAATTCATTGCTATAGTGATTAGTTCCTCATTGTTGAACATTTGCATGAGAAACCAAGATTCCTGTTAATCTTTACATAATGAATCTCATCCTTGGAAATTATATTGTAAAAAGTCTGGCACAATTTGGTATCTTTTTTCAGGGCAAAAATAGTAAGTTTGTCTGGACCTGGTGGGGAGGGAGGGAAGGAGAGGAAAGAAGGGGGAAGAAGGAAGGAGGGAGGAAGAAGGGAAAAAGGCAAGAAAGGAATTAAGGAAGGCAGGAAAAGGAGCTGGGTTGTTTTAGGTACAGGAAAACACTTGAGCATATAACACATCTTTGCTTTAAGTGAGTTCTTGTGAAAGAAACCTGTCCTAAGTGTACATTGTTCTAACTTTAGTTAACAGAAGAACCTGTCAGACGGCAGATTTTAAAAGAAAGCATTAGAACTAAGGTGCTACTTTGTGCAGTTGCATCGTGTGTCTTGTGGAGAAAGACGTAGGCGTGTGATAGGTATTTTAAGATTTGTTAACATGTTTAAGGAGTTTTTTGCTTTGTTTCGTTTTTAGCTTGTGAACTGTTTCATCATGCTAATAGCATGCAATAACAAATGAGGGCACAATATTCCTTAATTTTCTGAAGATGGCGTGTGTGCGCGCGCGCATGTGTGTTTGTGTGTTCGTGAGCGAGGCAATATGCAGTATGACTGTATGTACAGCTTTGAACACGTGTTTGTGTGAAAGTATGAGAGTAGAGCACTCTTGTATATGTAGCCTGGAGACAACTACTGGGATGCTTTATTTTGGTGGGGTGTCACTAGCCTGCTTTATTTTTTGTTTGTTTGTTTGTTTTTCTTCCAGGACCAGGAATCGAACTCATGACCTTGTGCTTTCCAGGCAGGTGCTTTGTCGCTGAGCTAAATCCCCAGCCCTAAAGAATATTTGTTTCTTTCTTTTTTTTTTTTTTTAAATTTTTTTTTGGGGGGGGTGGTTTCTCTCGTACCGGGAATCGAACTCATGACCTTGTGCTTGCCAGGCAGGCGCTGTGCCACTGAGCTAAATCCCCAGCCCTCACTAGCCTGCTTTAAAGAAACTCATTCTTTGCTTGATTATGAGGGCAGTAGCAGTGTG